GCCTAGCTTTATCATCTTTTCCCCTAATAGGCCTTCTCTCAATCCTTCCTTCATGCTAAGGATTTCTTTTCAGTCTAATTCACAGTACAAGCTCTTTGCCCTATTTGGTCTACATTTACAATGATTAATGAAAAGATGACTAAGTGTATGTGTTTATTTATTCCTTTATTCAATCTTTAAGTAGTTGTCACATGGCAAGCATCTTGCTGGATACTACTTGTTGTCTCTACAGTCAGAGAGCTTTAGTGTATAAATACTTCAAATCTCATTGACTGGACTGAAGGCATCCTGCAGAGTCAAAGCAAATAATGCATTTGTGGCTGGTCAAGGACTGACTGCAGAAGCAAACATAACTTAGGTGCATAGTTCATAAAAATGTTACAAGTCAGCCCTGGCTGGCGTGGCTCAGTGGTTAGAGTGTCAGCCTGCAGACCGAAGGGTTTTGGGTTCTATTCCGCTCAAGGGCATGTACCTGGGTTGCAGGTTCATTCCCCACCGTGTGTGGGAGGCAACCAATCAATGTCTCTCCCTCACATTGATGTTTCTCTCTCTCTCTTCCCCTTTCTTTCCCCCTTCCTTCCACTCTCTCTAAAAAAAAAAGCAATGGAAAAAATATCCTCAGGTAAGGATTAACCAAAAGAGAAAACAAAAAAAATGTTACAAATCAATGTGAGTATATTTACTCACATTTACTATATAAATTTCCACTTGACCACCACCCCCAAGTTTATTAATTAAATAAATTTGGTCTATGATTCTTTTAGTCTGGGCTTGCCAAATTTGTTAATCCTTGATGTACTGGAAGGCATAGGTGTGCATGAAGGGGATAAATCAGGGAGTCCCACGCATGGTGTCCTATAAGCTGTATGTGCAGATGTCCTCACATAACTATGCCCTTGAATTCTTGATCTGTTCTGTGGAGTACTCCAGGTTCCTAATAGGCATTCTGACAGAGCCAGTTTGTTGTTACTGGTTCCTCCTTCCTTCCCTTAAACACACATCCTCTCTCTAGGCTGAGGGAGGCTTAAGGATGGGTGGGAGTGGCCTCTCAGAGGAAGCCAGGAGTGAGTCAGAACCTGTGAAACTTTCAGACGACTCCCAAGATAACAGGGAGAGCTTCCTTGTTATTTTGGGTGTCATTCTGGTCTATAGAGGCCAACACTGGTAATCACTTGATGTCTCCATGTAATCTGGTGCTTTAGAGAGAGAGAAAAAAACAACTTTCCCTAGTCTCTAAGGGATAGGTGCACTATGATCAAGCGTGCATTTTAGAATGGATACTGCAGTGTGTATGAATTATTAGATTCCAGGAAACCAGAGGCAAAGATACCAGTACGAAGGCTACTAGGAAGGAGATGAGAACAACCTGAACTAAGGCAGTTGCTGCAAAGAGATTTGGGGGAAAGGAATCAATTGCAGAAATATTCTGAATATAGAATAGAAAGTCCATGGGAGCCTACTGGGCACAAACACAAGCCTTCACTCTTATTTGGGTACCTAATGGTGTTGCCACTTACTGAAATGTGAGAACATAAGTGTTAAACATGCTTTGGAAAGAATATGGTGAGTTCGATTTTAATGAAGGGAGATGCTGGCATCCAACTATCTAGTCAGCGGCTGGAAATGCAAATCTGGAGCTCAGAAATGAGATCAGAAATATAATATACAGATTTAGAAACCAGATGATATTTCAAACCTTGGGTGTGGCTGAGATCACCCAGGAGGACTGTGGGGTCAGTGAGAAAAGAATGGGACCACAAATGGAACCATGGGGAACAACAAAATTGAAAGGACAAAAAGAGAAAGAAGAGCCTACAAAGAAAACCGAGTCACAACCAGCAGAAACAGAAGACTGTGGCATCATAGAAGTCCAAGGAGGAAAACTCTCAAAATGTACCCCCATGGCTTGGTAATCAGAAAATGAGAAACAATAAGTTAGTAAATGTTCCATATTTAGTGTAAGCTATTCCAGAGAAATCAGAAGACTATGAGCTACTAACGTTCCTTTTAATTTGTGTTCCTGACTGTTCTCCAGATGTTGTTGCTAACTATTCCTCAAAGAGGTTGAAGAATAAATAGTGTAGCAGCTGCTCCTGAGCAGGAGGGACAGAGAGCAATACCACACACACCTTCCTACTCCCCACCTACGTCCTTCCTGGTGTCCCTGTGTTCTCTCTGTCCTGCAGCTGACGGCCAGTTTGCAGAGCTCTCCTCCAGGGTCATCCCACCTAATGCCAAGCCACAGCCACTCTTAGTTCTTTCCTGGGCCTCTTCTACCATTCCAGAAATTGTCTAGGCTGGACGGGGAAAACTGTGTATCCGAAAACGAATGCAAAAGGAATGCTTTCAGCAGTCACTGGAAGGGGTGTGTGTGTGTGTGTGTGTGTGTGTGTGTGTGTGTGTGTGTGTGTGTTAGGAGAACATGCCAAGAGAAAAGGAGAAGGCATGCCAGAGCCGGATAAAGAAAAATGAGGTACATCTCGAACATGACATCAACTAATTATTAGTAGTAATACATAGTAATATCAGCTATAAAAATGAGATACGAAGACAAGGTAGCTTTTAAAGTATCTCCTTAGAGCATTTTTTTATGCCAACTTAACTCCGTAAATACAAAAGTTCAAAGTTTATTTTTCACATTCAGTATCTGACATCTGGATATCAGTGGCCCACAAGTATATATCTGATTGATGAGTGATGAAAGAAAATGCTATCAGCTGCATATTGGAGAGCTGGCCAGGCAAAGAAGTGAAAAATACTCTTTACAGTTGTGTCAAAATAAGAGGCATACAATGGGTGTCAGGCGGTTGGAGACACATTACAGCTAACACTATTTTTTTCCTCCACAGCTGAGCCACCACCCCCTCCTTCTAATCCGTTCTGGATCTGGATCTTAATCTCAGTATTTGGGTCTATTATCTTTGTTACAGTATTCGTATGCTGCACATGCAAAAGTAAGTGCTATTGTACTACCATCCTGGAAGCCCAAGCTCTACTGGTATGGTTTAGCATCTCTCCAAGATTTTAGGCTATTCTCACTTTTGGAAAGTCTATGGAAACTTTAGTGTCTCCTTTCCTTGGTTCAGCAAGTTCTGTTCATTCACTAGACAGACATTTCTTCAACACCTACTATGTGCCTGGCACCCTAGTAGGCAATGGAGTTACAAAGATAAGAAATCACTGCCCTCAAGACACTAAATTCTAACTTAGTCCTTTTATGTCCCCCCCTAACTTTATAATATTTTCTTGGAGACACCAAGGCTTGCTAACTAATATGAAAACATTTCTGACGCAATGTGATATTCTAATCTTTCATTTGGAATTTGAGAAAAGTCATAAATGACAAGATTTGGGGGCAAGAATCATTTTCCTGGAGGAGAGTAAGATGCGCTAATGAAACTGAGAAACTACATGGCCACTGGTGATTTTTACCAATTCTCATTTCTACAGGATACGTTTTTTGATGAATGGTCAGGAATGGTTGAGGAAAGAAGATCTATCTAGGATATTTTCCCCTACGAGTTTAAAAGTTTGTCCTTATATATATATACTATCCTCAATCTCTCATTAAATGAAGAGGAACTGCTAGACCAGAGCTAAGGCCAAAGTCACCATGAAGGAGTGACTTTCTTAGAGTAGAAATCATGTATACTGAGAAAAAAAATGGGAAAAAACAACATCATCTGATTTTCCCAACTTTCAGCACAAAAAATATCCAAGGTCAGGGAAATCACTAGAGACTCTTTGCCATGAACAACTCAATCCATGGGTAGGATGGAAAAGGTCTGGGGCTCAAGGGTGTTTCTGATAGTCTTCCCAGCCTTACCTCTCTAGTTCAAATTTCCCATTCCTAGTACTATGGACATTTGGGGCTGAATAATTATGTGTTTTAGGGTGCTATTTTGTGCATTGTAGCATGTAGCATGTATAGCAGCATCTCTACTCACTTTATACCAGTAGAACCCCTTGCCACAGTAGTGACCAAAAATGTCTCCAAGCATCACAAATGTCCCCTGTTGAAAGGTGGTGGAAATCACCCCTGTTTTAAGAACTGCTGCTCTCATTCTAAGCCAGTCTGAAGGCTTGCTAAAATATACGGGCACAGTTTAAGGGAAACTCACCTATATAAATTTTTACTTTTTGTCTTTATCTTCAAGGATTTTCTGCAAAGAGAAGGAGGAATGAGGAGAGCATAGAAATGGAAAGGATCTCCCCTGTCTACTCAGGATCTATAGAAGCATCAGGCTGAACAGAACATCTGAAGGTAGCTCTCTTTAGCTCTTCTCTACCATTGTGGGACATATGAGATCATGGGCATCAGGAGGCACAGCGTTTTCTTTCTCTCGGTACCAAATTTAAGATCTACTACCTCTTACCCCACCTTCTCAAAAACTTCATTCAGATTACTCTAAAGAGATGACTGGCACCTCTCTCTCACCCCACATACAATTTACTTATTGCAACCTCCTTTGCTGTTCCATTCTGCCATCTCGAAATGCTCCCCTCTTGTCAGCCAATTCAATGTCTTTCATTACCTACAAAACACTACTGTAAGTTCATTTTGAAGTAATATTCCTGATCTAACTCCTTATTCTAATAATCTCTTTCCCTGTATCCCTCAGTATTAATGGACACAGATTTGTGTCATTTATGAGTCACTCTGTACTAACTCAGCAACACCTACATTGTTCTCTCTGCCTTTTAGTAACAGAGTTATCCTGCTGACCCAATCACAGAGCCAAATTTCATAGAGAATTATTCTCTATGTAATTTTCCCACTCCAAAACTCAGAAGAGCCCCCAGTGCCTATAGAAAAACCTTCATAACTTTTACCTTTCCACTTTCCAGTTGATCTCTGCAGTCTGAACATCCTCAGTTCTTTCCATTGTTCTTTTCTTTTTTTTTTTTCCATTGTTCTTAAAATGGTAGTTTCCAGAAGCTTCGGGTGAAAACACTAGATGTCAATAAATGGAATCCAACACTTTAGATTTGGTCTTGCTGATTCTGCATACAATGGGATAATTACTATCTGGGGTCTGGAATGTTCTTTCTGTTAAGGGAGCCTAACATAGCATTAGCTTTTGTGAGTCATATTGTTAAGATCTCAATTTTGTGTTATCCTAAAATCCCCAAGTCTTTTCATATCAGAGAAATATTGGAACACTGGAATGCAAGAGACTGATACTAGGTCCCCAGTGGTTTATAGCCTCCATAAACAATTCACTTTTGACTTGCAAAGGTTACAGGGACACCAGCATAAGAAATGAGAATCTGCAGAGTTACCTTTAAAAATAGTGGTTAGAAATCAGTGATCAGTTGTCACAGCCAGTCCTTGCAGCTGATCGGCCTATGGGTAAATCTCTCCCATTGACTTGCCAACAGCAATTAAGGCTCAACTGCAAGAGGAAGATGTACACAGTCCACACAGAGTGAGGGATGCACCTCGAGTGTCCAGCTGAGGTGACTGGGAAGGCTGGGTCACTGAACCCTATAGAACACCTACTACATTAGGCCACTCTTCCAAGCCCAGGAGATGTAGCAGCTCTACTTAATATGTAGAAACAAACACAGGGAGGCTGCCAAAATGAGGAGACAAAGAAACATGTCTCAAATGAAAAAACAGAACAAAACTCCAGAAAACTAACTAAACAAAATGGAGACAAGAAAACTACTAGATACAGAGTTCAAAACTGGTTACAAGGATTCTCAGTGAACTTCTTGAGAACCTAAACAGCATAAAAAAGGACCAGCAGAAAGAAGGATACACTAACAAAAATGAAGACTAATTTACAGGGAATCAACAGTAGAGTAGATGAAGCTGAGAATCAAATCAGTGATTTGGATTATAAGGAAGCAAAAAACACCCAATCAGAATAGCAAAAAGAAAAATGAACCAAAAAAGTGAGGATAGTATATGGAGCCTCTTTTCAAGGGACAACTAGAAGCATACCAACATTTGCATCATCGGGGTACTGGAAGGAGCAGAGAAGAGAGGGAGCAAGAAGTTGAAACCCTATTTGGAAAAATAATGACAGAAAATTTGTCTAACATGGTGAAGGAAATAGACATACAAGCCCAGGAAGCACAAAGAGTCGCAAACAAGATGGATCCAAAGAAGCCCACACTAAGACATATCACAACTAAAATGTAAAAGGTTAAAGACAAAGAGAAATCTTAAAAGCAGCAAGAGAAAGACAGTTACTTACAAGAAAGCTCCCATAAGACTGTCAGCTGATTTCTCAACAGAAACTTTGCAGGCCAGAAGGGATCAATAAGAAATATTCAAAGTGATGAAAAGCAGGGGCCTATAACCAAGATTACTCTACCCAGCAAAGATATCATTTGAACTGAAGGCCAGATAAAGAGCTTCCCAGACAAGAAAAAGCTAAAGGAGTTATCACCACCAAACCAGTATTATATGAAAGGTTAAAGGGTCTTCTTTAAGAAGAAGATTTTAAAAAGATTAAAAAAAGAATAAAATGGCAATAAATACATAGCTGTCAACAACTGAATCTAAAAAAACAAAATAAACAAATAAGCAGAACAGAAAAAGACTCATAGATACAGAGAACATATTGCCAGTTGCCAGATGAGAGGGGGGTTGGAAAGATGGATGAAAAAGGTGAAGGAATTGGGAAGAATAAATTGATTGTTACAGAATAGTCATGGGGATGTAAAATACAGCAAAGGGAATATAGTCAATAATATTCTAATAACTGTATAGTGTCAGATAGGTGCAAGATTTATTGGGATAATCACTTAGTAAGTTATGTAATGTATGTCAACTGTAATTGAAAAATAAAAATGACAATACAATATACAGATGACGTATTATAGTGTTGTACACCTTAAACCTATTTAACTTTATTAACCAATGTAACCCCAATAAATTCAATTTTAAAAAAGGAAAAGTGAATTAAAAATAAAAGATGATGCCTGGCCAGTGTGATTCAGCTGGTTGAGTGTTATTCCTACAAACCAAAAGGTTGTGGGCTTGATTCCCAATCAGGGCACATGACCAGATTGCAGGCTCAATCCCTTGTAGGGGGCGTGCAGGAGGCAGGCGATTGATATTCTGCTCACACATTGATGTTTCTCTCTCTCTCTCTCTCTCAAAATCAAATTTTAAAAATAGATGAAATATAATACCTGAGATTTATAACAGGTCATACTTTGCAAAAGCATTATTCATTTTACTCTTATAAAAGCCTCTGCAAGCATGATCTTTCTATCTCCATTTTATGGGAGAGGAATGCAAGGATCTCAGAGGTTAAATGATTTACTAAGATCAGGCAGAGGAGGAGCAAAACCAGGACTCAAACTAGACACCAAGCTCAGGTTTTTTCACATCATAGCAGCCTGTACATATTTTCCCCATAGTCTCTCAGTTTCCTATCCTGTTTTCATTTCAACTTCTTGCTCACTCCTCACTCCTTTCTGGGATGCCCCTTCCCACCAGTTCTTCAATGACTGTTACTGGAGAGGGTACCTGGCCCTGAACGGGTCTGCCTAGGGCCGGCTGGTAGTGTGTGGGTTCTTTGACTTCATGCCGGAAAAATTTCACATGAGTCCAGGTGAATTTTAGAGGGCATTTTTTATAGTTGGATACAGTGAAACAGGAAGGGCCTAGGATAACAGAAGAAGGGCTAGGTGGGGAAATGAGCCTAGGCTGGTCTGAGTTGGCTCACTAAGAAGTCAGAGACAAAGGGGGCCTTGAGAACAGGTTCAGGGGGTTTGCCTGGGATGAACTACCACTACCCTTTGCTGCCCTGGTTGACTCATGAGGTCCCTTAGAGTTTAGGAGATACGCGCCTGTGGGGAAAGAAGTGATGGGGGCAGGGAGGAGGAAGGCGCTTGTGTGCTCCTGGGAGAGCACCAGCTGGTACCTTTGTTTTGAGGGGTTTTAAAGGCTGGGCATTTAGGGGAGGTCTTAGGGGAGGATCTCAATAGAATATTCAGCTTTATGCTGATGTGCCAAAATGAGATTTATTCTCTTAACTTCATCTGTCCCTGGGTGTGGTTGGCAAATGGCAGTAATTGGATTTCTGCTTTCTGTCTCCCTGAGTAGGGTGGCTTAAGCTATTTACCCTCTGGTTGGGAGAAGTATAAACCATTTACTCTCATGTGTCCTTGGTTTAGGGAAGATAGGATTTACTAGATGGCTGCAAACTGCTGTTTAACTATCTCAGTTTTCCTATCCCTCTTGCCCTGGCTTACTAGCCTGTCCCATGATGACCTAGAATTTCCCCAACTTTCCTTCTTCTTTTTTTTTTTTTTAAATATATCTTTATTGATTTAAAAGAGAGGAAAGGAGAGGGAGAGAGAGGGATAGAAACATCAATGATGAGAGAGTCACTGATTGAGCTTGCGACCCGGGCATGTGCCCTGACCGGGAATCGAACCCCGATCGCCTGGATCCTAGGTCAACACTCAACCGCTGAGCCATGCCCGGCCGGCCTCCTTCTATCTTAAGAAATCTTTCTCAGTCAGCTGATACTAAATAATGAAGCCATGAACCCAGTCTTTACACAGAGCCTTCTGTGGCTATGCTGTGGAGTTCAAGCAGTTCTGGCTCTGAACCACTGTAGCAATGCTGCCTCCAGCACATCACATTCCACCCTGGGTTTATTTTCATGTGCCATGTCTTGTATTCTTTACCAACTTGTAGACTTATTGAGGAGAGCAGCCATGCCTGATACATCTTTGCGTGTCCCACACATAGAAGAATGCCTTGATCAGTAACATTTGATTGTTTGGTGATAGCTGGTGTGAAACAGTTGCCTGATGTTTCATGTACTAAAAATTGTCAAACTTGTCCTAAATTCTCTCTTAGACTTCCTTTTATATTCTTTAGCCATCAAGATTAATATCTACAATGTTACCTCAAGTTGGGAATACCCTTGGGATGAAAAAATATAAAATTTTAAAAAGTGCTTTCCTCCTTTGGGAATTTAGTGTTTGAAGTACTCATTTGTTTATTTATTTTTCTTGTTTCCTCAAATGAGAAAACATCTCACCTCCATCTGAGATCCACCTCTTCTTGGAACTTCCTCATATGGCCAGGATTATCCCACCTTGCCCTTCATTTGTCTGTCCCCTAGAAGCCTCTTCGTTTTAGTGTCTCTGCAGAAAGTCACTAGAGAAATGTGGTGAGGACAGAAGTAGCTCTGTTGACCTTGATCAAGGAATTCAGAAATACAGAATTCTTTAGGCCTGGAAAAGACACTAGAGAATACAATTTTCATTCAT